CAGTATGTCTTCTACAAGAAGGGGAGCAATATGCATTTAGAATAATAAGGTAAAAGAGTTACATAGCTTATAGTCTTATATAAAGTTTTCTTTCCCAAATGAAGAAACAACTCAGCATTTCAGAATCTTGAAATTCAGTACTAGATTGTGAAACTGTTGTATTGTGGAATTTTTCTTTAAGGAAAGTTTAGGAATTCTTTTATTGTTTCTTTTTTACATTGTATTTTCTTTGGAAAAAATAATTAAAAAAGATTTTTCCATGTAACACTGCTTAGGCTAATTCTGTATAACCTCTCAAGTGCCAGGTTAGACAATGATCATGCAGATTGTTTCAGCATGCTCCTGGTTTATTATTTGTAAAACAAGGATAACACCAAAGCATGTACATTCTTCATATTCTACATATTCTCAGTATGTGGAAAATTGTTATTATTAGTGTGCATGGAGAATGAATAGCAACATCTGGATGTGGAAGCATCAGAAGGAAAAAACAGCTAGAGAGCTGGAGAACAGTTACAAGAATGGCCTGTATCCATAGCACATAGATTAACAGGTCATCAAGATCCTAGCACATATCTGCCTACAGTTTAGCAGGACACCCAGATGGTGGAAAGGGCACTGAGTAAATCCCAATGACTTGCTGAAGTGGGACAGGATAATAACCACAGTAAGGTTACAAGAAGAAATATCCAAACACAAGATATTAGAAGAAGGCATAAGTGAATGACTGAAACAAGTTTAGATTTAAAAAAAAAAAAAAATCCACTTTCTTATCTTAGGAGGTCTTACATTGTCGCTACAATATTGCAACATTATTTCCTACAAATCCTGCCAATTTTGTTCTTTGGTATGATGATGATGATGACAATAAGATCCTCACCTGTTATGCATTGCTAGAACTTCATTAAAATCAAGAGAGCTACAATACTCTACACCAGCTGTGGATCTGCTACATTAGTTTTTTATTTGGCACAAGCAGAACTCGGCTGCTTGTGTACTTGCTTCAGACCAGAGGTTTCATGAACAGGCTGCTAAGGCTGGATATATGTTAAAAGAAAAGAGATGCTTTAAAAAGAAAAAGATATGTAATCAGGTGATCTGCAATTCTTAAATGATTAACAGTATTTCTGGTTAGCTTTATGAGATGTATGTGTCAAATATTATGCACTTTTTATAGCTGGGGATTGACATCTAGAAGGTTAAGTGGCTTGCCTGTGGTCATATAGTTGTTTCCAAGCTTTCAGCTCTAGGCTGTCCCAATACCCGTTTTAACCACAAGACTTGGCTGTCTTTCAGTGAGGTTAATACATGACTGCATGCTATTGAAGCAATGATCAATGCTATCTAAGATGCTTGCTTGAGCATTTAAGGTTAAATAGAAATAAATTTTGTTCTGTAGTGTTAAAACTTAGCTTATGTGTTGCAAACTAGGTCAAATGTTATCTACACCACTGGTGATGAGACTTGATTTGATTTCTAACATTACTAAGCTAAGAAGTAGTGATTTACAGACATTTGTTTCTAGATATCAAAATATTACATCTCAAGGACAGTTCTGCAGAAATAACAGGGCCTGAAAAATTATCTTATCCTTAGGTTCTGTAAATGCTGCCAACTTCTCTTTCCTTGATGTATACAATGGCTACACCTTGAGTATTGTGTTCAGTTCTGGGCTCCTCAGTTCAGGAAGGATATTGAGGTGCTGGAGTGGGTCCAGAGAAGAGCAACAAGGCTGGTGAAGGGACTTGAGCACAAGTCCTATGAGGAGAGGCTGAGGGAGCTGGGATTGTTTAGTCTGGAGAAGAGGAGGTTCAGGGGTGACCTCATCACTCTCTACAACTCCCTGAGAGGAGGTTGTAGACAGATGGGGGTTGGTCTCTTCTCCCAGGCAATCAGCAGTAGGACAAGAGGGCATGGGCTTAAGCTCTGCCAGGGTAGGTTTAGGTTGGATATTAGAAAGAAGTTCTTTACAGAGAGAGTGATCAGGCATTGGAATGGGCTTGCCCAGAGAGGTGGTGGATTCACCATCCCTGGAGGTTTTTAAGATGAGGCTGGATGTGGCACTGAGTGCCATGATCTAGTAATCATGGTGGGGTTGGATCAAGGGTTGGACTTGATGATCTCAGAGGGCTCTTCCAACCCAGTTAATTCTATGATTCTATGAAAATTCATGAGTAAGCAATTATTTTTTAATATATATAGCAGTTGTTTGGAGTTTGCTTAGTATACATGATTGCCTCTTGAATTCTCAAGGACTGGAAGAGAAGTTTTAACACACAAAGCAGAAAGACAATACAAGTTACTGTAGCATCTTTAAATCTTTACTGATTTCCATCTTTGATTTTTTGTCTGTTCTGCCCTCTTCTGTTCCTCCTGCTAGGAGTCAGATGGAATCTCTGTAAAAGGATAGCTAAAAGAAAAGTATGAGTGAGCTGGCTGGCATGTTTTTCTAAGAAACTAATGCTGCATATGTAAATAATTATTTGTTTTATTTCAGCCTGCATGAACAAAAGAAAGAAAATAAGCAAAGCTCTTGGGAAAATGCCTCTGTACTAAGAAAATAAACCTCTAAGAAAGTTTATCTAAGGGAATGACTTATTTTGTCTTCAGTGTTGCAATTTCACTCAAAAATGGTCTAATCACTCAAAAATGGTCTAATCAATCATGTGATGTTTAAAAATGTGGGTTTGGGTGAGTTGTCTTTTTTTTTTTTTGAGAGTAAAGCATAGAAGACATCTAGTGGTCCTCTGTAATTCCTGAGTTAGGGCAGATATTTTGAAAGTAATAATTTAAAAAATTAAAAATTAGAAAAAATCTAGTCTTTCTTTATATGGAGTTCTGATAAAGAGTTTAAGATTTGATTAATAGGGTCCATTATGAGCTGTACATGCAGGTAGCTAAGTCAGAATTCTAGTGACTGGAAACTTTCTGTCCCAAGGGGGACAATCTAACCAGCATCATGCGTGCCTTTGTGTTTTATTAACAGACTTCTACAATGAATCTCTTACACTTTGCTGTGCCATCTGCATGCTCTTTTATGAGGCAGAATCACAGAACTATAGGGTGATTTGGGTTGGCAGGGACCTTTAAAGTCCATCTAGTCCAACCCCTTGCTGTGGACAGCAATATCCTTCATTAGACCAGGTTGCTTAAAGCCCCATCCAACCTGGCCTTGAACACTTCCAGGGATGGGTCATCCCCACCTTCTGGGCAACCTTTTTCAGTATTACCGCCCTCATTTGTAAAATATTTACTCCTTGTGTCTGATCTAACATCTTCCAGTTTAAAACTGTTGCTTCTTGTCCTATCACTATGGGCCTTGGAGAATCTTATAAGCCTCCTTTAAGCACAGGGAGGCTGCTATACGGTCTCACCAGAGCTTTCTCTTCTCCAGGCTGAACACCAGCTCTCTATCTTTCCTCACAGAATAGATACTTCAGATCCTAGACCATTTTTGTGGCCTCTTCTGGACTTGCTCCAGAAGGTCCATGTCTTTCCTGTGGTGGGGACTCCAGAACTAGATGCAGGACCCAACTCTAAACAGTTTCTGTCATTCTCTGGATATCTTCAGCCCCTTGCCTGCCACTCCTCGGAGGTAACCTGCAGCCACCAAGGGAGCTCTGACTACTGCAGGCCATCCATCTGTCCTTCAGCCCATGAGCTCTTGCACTTGTTTGATCCCTCTGTCCTGCCGAGGTGGCAAAACTGATACCTTTGTATGCACGTTATTGTAATAAGTAGTAATAGTTAAATTTACTCATCAAATTAGTAATAATAGTAATTTACTCATTAAATTGTAGTGCATGTTATATTCTCATATATATGTTATTATAATCACTGTTCTGTTACGGTTAGGAGACTGTAAGTTATAGAATGGTTCATTAATCTATCAGCATTGTAAGCTGATAAGCATGTAGCTTACATTTCTTAAGCTAGAAAGACAAACTATTGTGCCTTGTTAAGTAAATATTTTTGTATCTTACTTTTATAAAAAGCTTATTGTCTCATAGCAAGCATAAAGTAACGGAGGGAATGACAAGAATCAAAGAGTCAGGAGCGAGAATGATACAGAGTATCCAAGATGGACATCTGGAGGTGCCTGGGCACTGAGCTGCACACTAGGCCTCGAGGACTAAAGACTGATTGAGACTATGGACAGGAAAGCACCTGGCAACTAAAACGGGCTTGCAAAGAAAAACCAACCAGAACCAGACCTGCAAACTCGAATCCAATAGGGGGACAACAAGTGACAATGGGAGGGGAACTGATAAGGAAATAAAAGTTACTGTTTTTGCCTACTGCGCTTGTGCGCCGTGAGTGGAGCAGGAGTCTCCCCGGCCACCCAGCATGCTGTTTTGCTTATTTGCATTTTTCATATATCTTCAGTAAATTTTATTACTATATTTCAGCTCAGTTTCATTTTACTTATAACATTATTGAAGGTGCTTTTAGATTTCCTGGAAAGTGTCTTTTCCCCCCTTCGCTCCCAAGCACCATTTCCGAGCCTTTTAGGCCACTGGGTTTGGCCTTAAGATGTTTTCCACACAAAAGGGTATAACTCTGCCATCATGCTTTAGTTGCAACCTCGCAACCACCGGGAATTGGTTCCCTGCTTTTAGGATGCTGAATTAGGAAATGTGTCTTATTTGTGGAGAATAACGTGTCACCACCAACTAATAATTGATCAGCAGAGCCAGGGGACATTTTCTGCCTGGGCAGAAGTGAAGCCGAGGGCGCTTCCCCCGGCCCAACCCCGGGCCCGAGCGTCGGCAGGCGGGGCCGGATTGCGCGGGGGAACGGAAAGCTCCGGACCGGGTTTCCCGTTGTCCTGGTGCCATCCGGGGGGAAGAGTTTAGGTGGCAGCAGCTCCGGGAGGGATGAGGACGGTGGAGGTGCGGTGGCTGCTTCTTCAGGTCGCTCCCCTGGCCCTGCTGCGGCCGCCAGCGCAGCGCAGCGCGGGGGGCTGGGCCGGGGTCACTGCGCGATGGGGGACCCGGCGGGCCGGGCGGGCCGGGGCAGCGCGCCGGCGGCGTGTCTGTGTTGTGTCTGGGTGTGCATCTGTGTGTGCGTGTGTGTGCACCGTCTGCTCTCCGCAGAGGCTGCCTCGCTACTGCTTTCAGGTTTTCTGACTGGATTTACGTGTGTCCTGGTGGGGGGAGTGTTGGTGTCAGTCGTGGAGGTCTCGGGCCCCTGCAGCACGACATAGGTTTGTCCTTAAACCAGCCCTGCTTCATCGTCATACATCTTTTATTTTGTTTGCTTCAGGAAGTGTTTTGGAAATATGCAAGGAAGATAGGAGAGGATAAGGGGTGTTAGCTTTGAGGAGCAGTAACAAGTGATGTTGATTTCTGCACAACTGGTGGGTGGAGGTTCCATTTCTGAGTTGTCCCCATGGCACCAATCTAAACTTTTCTCTTGGGAGAACTGGTGAGGAAATTCAGCAGACAACGTGTTTGTCTCAGTGCTCTGTTTCCTCTCTCTCTCTGTCACACACTGTTTCATAAATCAGCAGCTAGATTTTCACTTTTCTGTTGTGTAGTTAGTATTACTGGAAGCAACTTATGTTTCTTCACCCATCTATTATTGCCATTCATTTTCTTATATAATTGTTTCTGGGAAGCTGTAAACATAAGCATGCCTCAAGGACCTGAGGATATACTACTAATAATAATGCAGAAGAACTCTTCATGGCAAATTTTGAAATATATTGAATTTTCAAGTCTTAAGTGGCTTGTTTTGAAGTACAGTAATGAGCAATTGGAAAGCAAGCAAGAATATATATCTTCTATAGGGTCAACTGTATAGGTGTGGGAATTTGACAGATGTTTGTACAGCCTTTTTTGGAAACCTCCAGTGCTGGAGGCAGAGCAATCTCCCCCCATAACTTATTTGTATGTGCATTAAGAAAAGCTTTGCAGCTGTAAGGACAATAATGTACTTGAATCCTCTCTACTATAATTTGAAGCCATTTCCATTCACAACTATAAATGGTTTGGGGAACAACTTATTTCTGTTTTCCTTAAAAGTGGTTCTTATACTTTGTTCTGTAGGATGTGTGTTCATTTTAATTGTGTCTCCTCTTTTTTAACTTAAACATTCCCAGTTACTTTAATCCTTTCTTATATATTTGGTATTTAAGCTCAGATCATTTTTGATCCTCATCTCAGAATTCATTCCCATTAGTTCATATGTTTGACTGGATTTGAAGGGCAGTATTCAGAACTGGAGAGAGTACTCCAGCTGAATTCTAAACACTATTAAGAAAGATTTATGTGCTGTCAAAACTGTACATCTGTTCGTGCATCCTGGTATGGACGGTAGCTTTTGGCATATTCACCTTCTGTTCCAACTTAGACTCCAGGTCTTTCCTGCACAACTATAACCTAGTAAGTTTTCCCCCTTGCAGTTGGTTATTCTGGCTTAAATTGAAGACCTTGTATTTATTCTTATTAAAGTGCCCTTCCTGGTTGGTTGGTTTGTTTGTTTTTGTTAGGGGTTTCTTGTTTAAAAACAAACAAAACCAAGGCAAACTTCTCTGATTAATAAAGACTGGATTTGAATTCAGAATTTTCTTCCATTATGGTTTCATGTTGTTGCAGCTTGCTGCCATTTATAATATTAAGAAAAATAATCTGTAGTTAATCACAAAACAATACTACTTAGGGGAATCCTCTGTGGACTTTCAGTGGCCTATGTTACTTCTTGATTCTATTTTTCTGCATGACCTTGCAGCCAAGATGAAAAGTAGTGTCAGTTTAATATTAAATTGGGCTTATGCCACAAACTAAATCCTTATCACAGAGGGAAGTACATTTTCTGACTCTAATTAGGACAAGCCTGTGTACTTGCAAGGCTGGCAGGAAGCAATATTCCAAGCTTGTCTTTTGCTCTTTGATCTTTAGCAGCAGCGTGTTTATTCCTTAGATGTGCAAGGCACAGAGCAGCCTGAAATAGATGTGGAGAAGCCTGTCCTTAGTAAATAGGATTTGAAAATATATTTGGGCCACACAGTAATGCTCATCTTGGCTCCTTTCTCCTTCCCCTGCATCCCCTTAGTTTACCTTATCTGAGCCTTCAGTTTTTCACAGGGCAAGAAGATCACAGCAAGAAGCTTCTCTCTGCTTTTGACACCTTGTACTACAGAGCATTTTCCTCATTCACCAGATAGAAACTTTAAAAAATTTATAAGCTAAATACAAAATCCCTTGTGTAATATGCCACAGCTGTCTCTTACTTCGGACTTTTTTTTTCTTTGCATGTCATTGTAGTGTTTGAGCATTTTCCTGATGTGTAAATTAGATCTGTATGACAGTATGTTATTTGAAATTCGTCAGTCTTCACAGTTCTTCCACGGGAGGTTTTCTTTCCCTGCTAATGGAGGCCGCCTTGAGCTGCACAGGAACTCAGCATAGCAGCGAAGCTTTTCTGCTTTTCTCAGCCTGCCTGTCTCTAGCTTCATGGTAGCACAAACTAGAAAGTATTTGGTGTCACACACTTAACTCTCTCTAAATTTCCATCTTTCACACAATGTGACAACAACTGGGAGGAAAAGGGGGTCTCCTAAAAGTGTTGTGTTTTCTTTCTTCTTCAAAAGAAGAAGAAACTGAGTAGCTGTTAAAATTCTACAGGAAAAGAGAATAAGAAGCAAAAGTTAACTTTCTAGACTACTTTATCTATCCTGAACTATTTCAGTGAGATTAAGGAAATTCTTAGTGTGGTGACAACCACACCTAAGGCAGACATCCAACTGTTACTTATTAAGGCCCACAATTATAAAGGAACAGATCTGTTAGAGGTGGAACTATCCTACCAGATGACCATGTTTTCTTTCAGTTAAGCTTAAGAAAAATCTCGATTCACCCAATACCTTCAGTCTTTGTGCATGTTTCTCGAATCTCATTGTAATTTTATTTAACTTGCTATAAATTGCAGTAGGCTTTTATTCTTTGCAGTTACTTTGAATAGATGTTTTAGATATTTCTGAATTTTTAAAAACTAAGGGCATTAACTGTGAAATGACAAGGAGTTTGGAGACACTGAATAAATGAATCTTTTATTCTGCTGGTATGGTGAACACATATACAGTTCGTAATAACTTTGAGATACAGAAGACATTTCTACTAACTATTGTTTGTGGTGTTTTGATACTACAATTCACAAGACCTATAACTTATGCTCTTGCTTTGAAGTTTGCTCCCTCCATCCCTTTTATATAGGTAATGCAAGTAATTCTGTTATTTGTACTATGCTTGTGGACTAGAATACTTAATCTGTCTTAGATGCTTCAATTTAGGAATGATGTGACCAATTGAAATTAGTCCAGAGATGATTAAAAAGAATGATTTTTTTTTTTCCCCCCATGGTGGACCTAAAAGCAATACTTAGGTTTTGGAACCTCCCTCACCAGAAGTTGTTAGGACCACTTTCGAGTGGTCTTAGACATGAGTTGGCTTCACAGTGGAAGGCTTGAGCTAAATGTTTGCTTGAAGTGCTTTCTGGCTGTTCCTATGAATATTTTAATAACTTTTTAGGCACTCAGGAATTTCCAAAGGTATTGCTTCTTGTTTGTAAGTCATTGAGCCTTAGCTGAGACACAGGAGCTTGCCCAACTGTGTTCCATCTGTTGAAAATTCAAGGAAAAATAATACTATTTCATTATTGTGGTTTAGACCAAAACAGTAATTATGATGAATTTGTATTCATGACTTCACAGTATATGCATGGTTCAGTATCACAACTCTGATACTATTGCCTTATAGTGAGATAGTGAACGTTGCCTGTGTTTTTTTTATGTTCTGGGGGTTGTGTTTGTTCTGATTGTAGTTTCTGGCTAGTGTATTGCTCTTCCTGACTGGCTCCAGTATTTGCCATTTGAGGGAAATCAAAAATGATTACACTGCTGGATACAGTAGGTAAGATGCAGAAATGTGAATAAGATATTTAACAATACATTGAAGCTAAGTGTTCTTCTTTTCACTAACACTGTATTCATTTAACTGATTTCTGAAGCCCAAGAAACCCTAGTTCTTCTCTTTTTCTCTCATAAACATTATATTTGGGAGTTAAAATTACTCCTGTAGGGAAGAAATTTTCTACAGTAAGTTCTTGTGATTTTTTTTTTAAAGAATACGCTTTATTTGTAAATATTATAAAATACAGTGTAGCTGCATTTACAGCACAGATGACTTAAACTTATTTTTCTTCTGGAAAGTAGTGTAGTTTTTCTGTATCATCTAATGTAAATGATTACTGTGTTATAAGGAAAGTATTTTAAGCCAAGTTACATCAAGAGTATTCTAATATAGATACTTTTGGACTCTTATTTAGAAAACAAGAGACAAACTTAGCAGTATTTTAATATAAGCTAAATAATACTCTCTTTCTTGTTTTAGGGAGCTGTGAGATTTAAGAATATCTCTGCTAAGAAAATTCACTGCTTCTACAGCCTTCCATCTTAGTGTGCAGTTGATTTCACTTGAAACACCTATCTGAAGAAACTAACAGTAGGCAAGGTGTAATTGCCTTTTAAAAATGTTAAAAGTTCAGCAGTGTGTAACAGCTGTCAAGATACCCAAGAAAAAGCCATATATTTGTGACATGTGCTATAAACAGTTTGAAACTCCATCAAAATTAGCTAGGCATTATCTCATACATACTGGTCAAAAGCCATTTAAATGTCATGTATGCAATAAAACATTTAGGCAGCTAGTCCACCTGGAGAGGCATCAGTTAACCCATAATCTGCCTTTTAAGTGTATTGTTTGTTATAGAAACTTCAAAAATGCAATCACTTTCTTAAAGCATCAGCAGCTTCATAATGAAAATTATGAGAATGACACAAAACAAGCAGAAAACTCCGTGGATTCTGAGCAAGGCAGGGTCACTTGCGGCATATTTCAGTGTTCTGCATGCTCGAAGCGTTTTAAAACTGAAGAGAGGTGGATGCTGCATCAGTGTCTGAAGTCAGATCATCTCCGTGGTGCCAGAAGGAGAAAGAAAACTCACACTTGTGAATCGTGTAACAAGACATTTCCATCAAGATCCAAGCTAGAAAGACACTTCCTTATTCACACTGGACAGAAACCTTTTAAGTGTTCTTCATGTGGCAAATCTTTCAGACAGTCAACACACTTGAAAATTCATCAGCTCACACACACAGAAGAAAGGCCTTTTCAGTGCTGTTTTTGTCAGAAGGGATTTAAAATACAGAGCAAACTTGTGAAGCATAAACAGCTCCATGCCCGAAATAAGACTTTCCCCAGTACTGTATGCAAAGCAAAGGCTCTTAAATATCCCAGACCACACAACCTATTGGAAGAAAAGAGGGATAGTTTTGACAGTGCTGACACACATGAGTCACAGGAGAATGACCCACATGATGTTCACTCGATTTATATTGTACCCTTTGAATGCCCAGCATGTGAGCAGTGTTTTGAAACAGAGCATGTTCTAAATTTGCACAAATGTTGTTATCCAAGAGACAGCAGAAGTTCAAATAATGGTACAACAGCTTGCAGACACAGAGTCAACATGAAAAATAAGATCCTGATGAAACTGAAGCGTACTGGAGCGAAGGCAACAGATTTTTCTCTGACTGACAGAAAAAAACCAAAATCAGGTCATGTTAGAAATCCTGACCTGGTTGCATCTAGAGATCAGCGTTCTGATCAGCATGCCTCCACTAAACCTTCCAAGGATTGCCACAGCAAGCTTGACGTGCACAAGGCACTTAGTAATCAGATGAAAAGAACGTTGACTGTGCCACTACCTTGGCAAGAGCACCTGCAACCTCACAACTTGGGCGTTAATTTAAAAGGTGTGCTTACTGGTGAAAGCATGTTAAACGTTGATGATTCACTGGATAATAAAAGTGATGCTTTTTATGGTTCATCAAGTGATAACTTCTTCGATAATCCAGAAGTACGTCACTGTGCTTTTTCAGCTTCTGCTAAAAATATACATAACAGACACAAAGTGTGTAAATGTGACAGATGTGAAAAAATTTTTCCATCCTTATCTAAACTTCAAAGACATTATCTTATACACACAGGACAGAAGCCCTTTGGCTGTAATGTTTGTGGGAAGACATTTAGACAATCAGCTCATTTAAAAAGACATCAGCTCACCCATACTGAAAAGAGACCCTGTAAAAGCCCCATTTGCCAGGTAGAATTTGAAAACCTGAATAAACTTTTCAATCACCAGGGAGATCACAATGAATTTAAGACTTCTCAGCCTGTGGGTTATTCTCAAACACCTTCACAGCCATCTGGCTTTCAAGAATTTGAGCTGATTCAGTCAAACCAAGCAGCTGAAATCAAAGTTGAAATCGAGTCAGGGGATTTTGTGCTTGACACCAGCAGTAGAAACCCACAGCTGTATTTGTGTAGTAAATTGTTGAAAACAGAGCAAAGCTGTTACAGTTATTGGCATGATTTTTCTGAAGATACTGAAAAAAGTGAAGTTGCTAACAAATTATATCAGTGCAGTATCTGCTTTAAAACTTTTAAATCTCATTCTAAGCTTGAAAGACATCACCTAATGCATGCTGGACAGAAACCTTTTGAATGTTTAGTTTGTGGAAAAAAATTCAGACAGACCCCACATTTGAAAAGACACCACCTTACTCATTTTAAAGAGCTTAAAGCTTAGCTCCACTGAGCAACAGGTGGTGTGGTTTTTTATCAAAAACTGGATAATGTCCTATGAAATCATAGATTTAAACTTTTAGCTGCACAATTATTAAAAAAATTACATTAGACCAAACAACTGAAGGGGATTATATTTTTCTGTTACAGAGATGAGATGGTGAAGATGATACTGTCTTCAGAACTGTCTACTTGTTATAATTTGTGAGATATGAATGTTGAGATGTTTTAAAAAATGCAACAAAAAAGCCACTTTGCATTCCTTTGGCTAAATTAATTTATAAATACACGTTCTCACTGTATTAATAGTGTTGCAGCAGTCTGCAGTGCTCCATGAATCAGATATTTTAAAAGTTTTACCTTTTTCTGTGTAGCATTTTATGTTCAATGACAACTATCAGAAAAGTAAAAACATAAAGTAATTGCCAGAATATTGAAAAAATGGTCCTTTCACTTTCTTCTGTCTCCCTATATGTTGCAAGCAAAGGGCACTTGCTGTATTTATTTAATATTTTTAAAATGGTTATTTTTAGAAAAAAGATACAAAAAAAGGAAGAAAGTAGAAAAAGGGGAGAAATGAGAAAATGAGATAAACACGAGGCTTAATGAGAAAAATGTTGATGTGGCATTATAGAACATTCTCTTTTCTATAGAATAGAAAAAAAATGCTTTTTAATGTGCTTGGAGATCTATTCCTCATCTTGGAGATGAGGAATTTGATTATTTCCCTTTTTATATAGAATATAAGGAGACAATGCTATAATGTTAGGATTTATAATCAGTTGATCTATTTCACCACTTGATTAACTCCACTCCCTTGTATATCCCTTGCCTTCTCTAGCTCTTTTGGCCTAATCATATATTACTGAACTATTGCTGAAGTGGACAAGAAATCATCATTAACTTTACCAATGTGCTTACTATCTGTTCTGGTCTCCTTTCCTTCTAGCATACATATTGAACCAGTAAAAGAAATGTTCTCTAAGATGTGATAATAACTCAGACAAGCAGTTTTGCCAGGAAGTCATGTTCTCATTATATGAAATATAAGAGACTGAAAATTACTTTTAGCTGAATTTAAGTAATTCTGATTTTGTATTAATAGAATCTGTAGCTATACTTTCTGGTAAGTAGATGGCTTTGTCCGTTGTGTCGAAGAGGCTGGCAAGAAGTGTAAGTGCAGTGGAGCTTTATACATTACGAACAAGAATGAAGTTTGTTTCTTTTTTATTTTCCTCTGAAAAAACTACCTTTTAGGATACCTTCTTTGTTATGCAACTTTTCAGTAGTTGAAACCTGAAGTTTTTTATCCTACTTCTAAATTAATATCTGTAAGATATGTGAAATTCTCTATTTAAATAGATCCATATTTATTTAAGTAAAATGGGTTTGATTTTTTATTATTTTTGAAGTGGCATGAGCTTTGTAGTATTTGGTGAATGTGAAGTGAAGGATAAAGGGCATTTTTATTTTCATAGATGTTATTCTTTTCTATTTTCAGAGAGCATAAAACCAGGAAAAATACTCAGAAACTGTCTGTAGTTACTATGATTTTTGTATGACAGACAAATCCAGTACATTAATAATGACTCTAGTTATATATTGAGATTTTTCTCTCCCTGTGTGAATTGTTTCATATTGAAAGAACACTGTATAAAATGTTTTGAAAGCATATTGTAGAGCTCTTTTAAAATACTTGTAATAAACTATTTTATTTATATTGTACTTTTATTGTATGTTTTATGTGCAAACATAAAGGGGAGGTAATACAGAAAGATACTTTTGAGGGATGAATAGACATTTGTACAAAGTGTTACTGTCTGATTAATTTGCAAAGCAGTAAGAGCCACCTTGTTTATCTGGCACTTTATCCCTTTATAAAAAGTTTTGTGTCAGTATAAACTCACTGATTTTAAGGGGTTAATGTCAGAAACTAGTTAGAAAGGGGTAAAATCGTTTCTAAGAGTCAGGAGAAAACACTCTGAAGTTGAAATCTTGTGTCCTTTGCTGTTAACAGTAAAATTCACTGGAACTGCTGTACTGACTGATCACATCATCCATTTTCTACCTAGGAAATGTGGCTATGGATGTCTTTAAAATGTTTATGCTGCTCTGTCATTGCACACAAATGAGTGTTTTAGGTTGCTCAAAGAATCACCGGCAAAGGTACCTTTAAAAGCAGGTTTAATGTAAAAGGGAAGGCATGACAAAGTTGGTTGGCAAGGTTCACTGTACTACTTTTTAGATGGTTAAAGTACATGAAGAAAAATCAGGCTAAAATCTAAACTAAATCAATCTAAAACTAAAATCAACCTAAAATTATCTATGTGGAGGCTGAGGATGGAAAAAGGGTAAGAATGGGAAAGAGTAAGGATAAAAGGAATAAGGGAGACCCTCCAGATGAGGGTTCTCAAGGTTCAGAGGGCACTCCCTTACCAAACTTTGTCCCGGATTTGACCAATGGGGTGGCAGTTGTACCCCCACACAATGTTGGCAGAAGGTCAAAACTTACATATATTTGTTCCTATATATGTCTACAGAAAAATTCAAAAAGGAAAAAAAACAATGATAAGCCACAGAAAAACTGTTTAATCACTTTTGTAGCTGCTTCTCATTGAGTGCTGGGTGCCTCACTTGGCTGTGATCTGCTCTAACTATTACACCCAGAGCCAGTAAGAAAAGTTAGTGAGGCAAACTGCAAATAGACACAAAAAAACCTTAATTGAAGTTAATGAGACCTTAGCCTTCAAACTGAGATGCTGGCTCTAATGTTTACTTTTCCTGGCTGCCTTCTAGTATAAATGTGAAATTCTGAAAGTCATAATCTTGCAATAGTAGCTCATTTGAGTAACACTTACCTAAGTACAGTTGAATGACTCTTAAATCAATAAAGACTATGAATTCGGTCTGTCTAATGGCCCCTTGTAATAATGTTGAAAATGCCTAGATCTCCTAAATAACTAAAGGGTTCACGGTTCATATTTCTAGCACAAGGTTTTGTGGATTTTTAAAGTGCAAGTTTTAACTTAATAGCCTAGTTTTATGGTCTGATGGCTGTGAATGAGATGTGTCTGAGAGGCAGTTATCATAAGGACAATTGAAATTACAGAAGTGACTATGCTCTCATATAATGTACTTTTATCCAGGTTAAGCAAATTAGCTGTACTTTTGTACCTTTTTATGTAATGACTAGTTCTGTCAAGCACCTTTTAAACAGCATTTTTTTAACATCTGTTATAAAGGTGAATATTTAAAGTCCATGCAAGTGAAGGAGAAATCAGTCTTATGCCTGATACAAAATCACTCAAAAGTGATCACCTCCTTGTTCAGAAACTATTGTTCTAACATAAAAGTGTCATATCTGTCCTGAGTTCTCACAGGTCTCTGCTGTTTTACTTCTGTTCTCTGCCATTCCAGTTCCTGTCTGCTTCCAGGATATCCTAACGTGTGGCTTGATTCTGTTACACATCTGACATGATTTGGATATGTCGCTGAAATTTTTCCTCTTCACTGGAATCCTTCCAGTGTCCCTGGCGCTGAACTGTATGGATCTGTGAAATCCCACATGTGACTTCTAGTCCAAGAGTCATGGAGGTGGTTGTTGCACATGTGCTGCCCTGGCATGCAAAATAGTGCCTGAGGATGTGAGTGCATGAAGATGCAAGAAGCTGAGTGCTGATGTGTAGACTGTGGTGTGTCATTCTCCTCTGAAAATCATCTGGGTGTGTAGGGTAGTAAAAGCATATGGATATGGTGACTGTCCAGCTTTTCCCATGGCACTTGAATGTCCCTTGCTGATGAAGTGAAGGAGGGGAAACAGAGAATTACGTGGCCACTGCTATACGAAAAAGTAAAAAACTGTTCCTAAGCATGGCATCTCCCATTTGTACTGCTAATGCACTGCACTCATACTCTGTTGACATAAAGGAAAACACTATCTTCCTGGCATGCAAATTTGCATCATTTTATTTGTGCACTTTTTTAGAGTATAAATTTTAATCCTCAAGTATGTGTTTGCAAAAGGAGCTGGCTGAGTTACGGAAAATCAGATGATTTCCTCAGTTTCCACTTTATTTTGATTCTCAGATGATCCTGAAAATACAGCAAAGCAGAGAAACTCCTATTAGTGACAATATAGGCCTACTAAATTAAGGAGAAATCTGCTAAGCCGTAAAGACACCTCAAATGCACCAGTCAATTTGAGGATAATTTTTAAGATCAAAACATGTTGGGATTTTTTCATGACAATGAGAACAACCTTGGATTAGTATCTTGGCAACCTTATTTGCCGTGGTGCACTTTATCTCATATTTATACGCTGGGTCTTAATAATAGCAGGTACTTGGGTAATGAGAATATCTTTGTAAGAATTCCCTCAGGCATTGAATAGCACGTCTGACACTAGTGCAATTAGTGGGGGAAAAATGTCCATTTGCCAATTAGCTAAAATTATTTTTTGTGTGTTATTGTAGTTAATATCATAGTAGAAGGGGTTTTTTTCAGTAAAAGGAATTACTAAAATCATTAAATTATTTTTCAGTATTACACCGTTGTGAATTTGCTGTTTTCAGTAGGTATTCTGTTTTATTGCCATTTTATCCTCTCTTAAAGCCATGACATGCTAATGGACATGTCTACCAAAAACCTAGAAAATATGGAGAAAGGCAAGGATGAAAGCTTTAGGAGACTGGAGCTAGCTCTCAGCATCTTAGAATTGCTCTGTCTCCAATTTTTATGCTGCATATCAGATACACTTCAGTTTTGTCTGCAATCTGTATTTTTTTTTCTGTATTGTGAGAAAAGATATGTAATCAAGGATCTACTTTTACAACAATGCTGCAAACAGACTCAAATTTCTATAACACTTCTCTTGCCTAGCAGAAAGGAAATTATTTTCCTTAGAATCTCATTTCAGTGATGAAGGCCCCATCTTCCTCCATCAAACAGATTTATTTAATATTAATTTTTTTCCACATAGAGACTTTATCACATAAAAGCCTCTCACAGGATTTTTAGCAAATATTTCTAGAGCTTTTCTGGCCACTGGTGTCTTAACTTCTAAATGTGGTTCTGCCTCAGTTGGTAGGAACCTAGCTAAAATTCTCTGAAAAGAATTAGAATAGCCCAGAGTCTGCTCTGACTTGAGCTGTTATCCAAATCTGAGCCCAGCAACAGAAAGCTAAGAATGACACAAAGTCTCCTACTTCACCATTTCCTTCACTAGACACACTGCTGCTATTCTGGGATATCAAAGCAGCTGGGTTGCTGAATTAACCATATTTTTCTCTAGTCATGAGCTCAGAATATCCATTGAAGTTACTGTAAGTTTTGCACAAAAATCGAGGGCAGTACATTGGCCAGAATGTGTGCTAAATAAATATTTATACACAAATCAGAATGCTACTGATGGCTTCTTTACACTTTAAAATTCTAAATATTTTAAGAAGCATCTGTTGCTAAACTGAGGCATCATTTTTGAAAGTACCCATATTTAGTGAGTGGAAGTACACATATTTAGTGAGATGAACATGGTGACAAAAGCCTTGGACTAGAAGAATGCACATAAATAAAATAGTTATAGCAACGTTACATGATGGAATTAAAGCCATAAAGAACAGGCTGAACATTTAGTTTATATGAATATTAACTGATATGAGGGATAAGCTATAACCAAAGGAATAACCCCCTGTCATTGTGCCTAAGCTTTTTATATGTTGAAGGATTCCTCTAGTCTTTTTTGAGAAGGTGTTCCAAATTTTATTTACCTGAAAGCAGGTTTAAATCAATATATTTCTTCTACAATATCAACAGGTAAGAGAGACAGGAGGTTTCAGATCTTTTTTGCTTAATGTACATATTTTCTATTTCTATGCCATTCATCCCCTCATCCCTTTCAAAAACCTATATAACTTTGCAAGAAATGTTTCAGAATATTGCATATTCATAGTCACTTTCCTTTTTGGTTAAAAGAAAAGCTTTATGTGCAAGTTTGTATATATACATGATGAGACCTGTAATTCTCTTGTGAAGATTTCTGTTCCAGAGCTTTTCAGAGGGATGCTCCTGAAAAACGTTGTGTTTATGTATAAAAGTCAACAAGCTAAGGTAAAAGCTGATTTTAAAGTGATACGTTCTTCTAAGCTTTAGAGCCTTGCTTCACAGAAAGCCTCAACAGTCTTGATCGTGCATGGAAGCTTTAGGCCTGGCTTGAAATTGTACAGATGAACCAGCAGGAAAACAACCCCTGGATGGGAGAGTGTGGAGCAGCACAAGAGTGCTGTCAGTGAGCTGGTTTTCTGTTCATCAGAGTTGTGTTAGCGTGCCCTCAGCTACAATGGAACAGTCTGCACACTGGAAAGGAGGTTTCAGTATCTTCAATTCCTCGCGTCAGGGAAACCTCTGTCACTTCTGCTCCCCTGGCCACCAGGACGGGTGGCAGTAGAGTTGTGATAGCCACCTCATTGCTCCAGGTCAAAGAGCCAGGAGTAGTCACTCCTGCTGTGCTGCAGTGACCAGGATGAGGCATATGGGGAATCATCTCTCCCTAACACAACTTAGAGGAGAACAAGTCAGTTTTCCATCAGACAAAATGCTGGTTCATAATTTTCAAGGAATCTGATGAGTGGAATGGGTAAGGTAATGCCATTTGGCACCCTGACTGCAGTGCTGGTATTTGTTACCTGCTTTGGAATAAAACTTTTACACCAGAGTTTACATAGGTGCAA